CTTTGTCAGTCATTATTTTAGATATAGGGAAAGAAAAGCCAAGGATTAGAGTCATTTATCTTTTAAGTAGTATAGTGACCCGGGCAAGAGATCTGGAGGGGCTGTGCTCTCTATCATGTTTTGTCTTTGAAGCATCTTACCAGAAAGCTATAGGCCATCACAGAGTCAGGGGCCTTATGAAATTATGCCAGTAAACAGAAATGAGCAAACATGACTTCTGAAGGGTTTGCTACTTTGTCTCACATTGGAATGGACTGCATCAACAGGCTCCCTTCCCTTCCAGCTTCTGGTTGGGTTAGGTCAATGGAGAGGACCAGCAAGAGAGGGGAGGGAGGTAAGGAGGCTGATTGGGTATTTTTTCCCTAGCACCCCTCCTGTGGGTTTTTTGTGGGCTGGCTGCCTCTCTGAACTAAAGGCCACAGTTTGTGTCAGGTAGCTCTTTTGAAACAGATCTATCACCAGTTTCTGATTACTGCTGTCTCCTTTTATCCCTCCAAAGTGATACCTTCTTGCTGATACCAGCAAGATACCTATCTTGCTGATACCACACAATGTTGTGTGGCTTTTCTCCATCTTGCCCATACCTTTGAAAGTAGTTCTTTGATGGTAATCTCTTCAAATTACTTCACTTGAGTTTGCTGTTTCCTGCTGGAACCCTGATAAATTCAACAATTTATTAGATTCTAATTTGGGGGAGAAAGGCACAAAGACATTAAGTAATTTCCCCAAGATCACACAAAGAAGAAATAATACTTATGGGATATTTCATAATTATTCCTTTATCTATTTAAAGTACCTCTTTTTTTTTTTTTTTTATTGAGACAGAGTCTCATTATGTCACCCTTGGTAGAGTGCCATGGTGTCACAGCTCATAGCAACCTCAAACTCTTGGGCTTAAGGAATTCTCTTGCCTCAGCCTCCTGAGTAGCTGGGACTACAGCTGCCTGCTGCAACACCCGGCTATTTTTTGGTTGCAGTTGTCATTGTTGTTTAGCAGACCCGGGCTAGGATCGAACCCATTAGCCTCGGTGTATGTGGCTGGTGCCCTACTCATTGAGCTATGGGCACTGAGCCTAAAGTAATTTCTATTGGTTTTATTACAAGAGATATACAAACACAAACACAAACAAAATGAAGAGAGAGAATTCTCGTATTTCTACCCACTGATTTAGTCTATTATTTATTTAATAAGAGTTCCCCTTTCTTTTTTGAGACAGAGTCTCAAGCTGTTGCTCTTGGTAGAGTGCCCTGGTATCACAGCTCACAGTAACCTCAAACTCATGGGCTCAAGCAATTCTCTTGCCTCAGCCTCCCAAGTAGCTGGGACTACAGGCGCCCGCCACAATGCTCAGCTATTTTTTTATTGCAGTTGTCATTGTTGTTTAGCAGGCCTGAGCTAGGCTCAAACTCACCAGTCTCAGTGTATGTGGCCAGCACCCTACCCACTGAGGTACGAGCCAGCTCAAGACTTCCACATTTTGATCTCCAAATTCCTACTTTGAGTCTCAAGCTTGATGTTCAGTTGCCTACTCTATAATCTTCATCTGGATGTCACAAAGGCACTTGAAACTCAACATGTCCAAAAATATGCTCATGATCTTCCAGATCCTAGCCACAACCAAGTCCTGCCAATTTTATAAATGTCTCTTAATTTAAACACATCTGTTTAGTTCCACTGCCACCACCCACTTCAGTCTTAAGAGTTTCACCTCTTGGCTCAGCACCTGTGGCTCAACTGGCTGAGGCACCAGCCATGTACACCTAAGGTGGTGGGTTTGAATCCAGCCCGGGCCCACCAAACAACAATGATGGCTGCAACCAAAAAATAGCCAGGCATTGTGGCGGGCACCTGTGGTCCCAGCTACTTGGGAGGCAGAGGCAGGAGACTCGCTTGAGCCCAGGAGTTTGAGGTTGCTGTGAGCTGTGATGCCACAGCCCTCTACCTAGGGGGACACTTGAGGCTCTGTCTCAAAAAAATAAAAAAATAAAAAAGAGTTTCACCTCTTTTTTGAAGAATGTCTAACTTTGGTTTCCCTTTATCTATCTACTCTTGCCCTACTACTCATATAGCAGGCATATAGACCTTTCTAAAATGTAGGTAAGCTAGGCACATCCCCCCTTGCTTAAAGTCTTGCAGTGGCTTCTGTTGCTCTTAGGATAAAGGTCAAGGATGTGACCCTTGGCTCAGCCACCTTAGCAGCCTTGTCTTTTGTGCTTCTCACTTTGCCACAGCTCCACTGGCTGACTTTAAGTTGTCCTAATGATCCATGCTTGTTTCTACCACAGGGCTTCTGCCTACATTGTTCTCTCTTTCTGGAACATTTTTATTTGCCCCTTCCCAAAGTTAACCTCTAGAGCAGTGATTTTCAATCGGTGTGCCATGAAAATTTTTAACAACCATTAATTAAAATATTTTCAAAAGAAGTTCAAAGCACAGTAAGTATGTTCTTTGTTTTACTCTTTTGTTTGATCAACATGATTTAAATGTGCTGTGGAAGTTTAACTACAGGTTCAAGTGTGCCATAAGATGAAAAACATTGAAAAACACTGCTCTAGAGGGGTCAAGAAGCCGGACACAATTATAAGAGGGACTTTACCTAACAAATGCAATCAGTGTAACTTCGATCTGTGTACCCTCAATGAATCCTCAACAGTTAAAAAAAGAACACCTTAACACTTTATCACTGTGAATCTTTCTAACATTTATTATAGTTTGTATTTACACATCAGCCTGCAGTTGTCTATCTCTTCTACTAGCTCTTCATTGTAGACTGTGTTCATTGATGAAAGTATCTGTCTTGTGTTACTCCAGTATCCCCAGTACCTTGCCCATTTTCACATCTTTCATTTCTTTTCATTCTAATACTTCACTTCACACTTGTGCTAGGCACAGGGCAAGATTAGACAGAGCTTAATCTTTGTACCAAATTTCCTCCTCTATGCTTCAAAGTCTACTGAGATAAAAATGATTTCATTTCAGTCTTAAGTCTCAAATCCTATTCTAGCAAGTAAGAGCTATTAAAACAGGATAAAGGCAATACTACTTCTGTATTTCTTTACAATTTATTCAACAGATGTTTGACAGAGAACGGGGGGAGGGCAGGAAAAATGTTTATAGGTGGGAATGGATATCTAGTTAAACCTTCCACCACTTATTCTGAATTTGTCATAATTTCATCTATTTTTGAGGGTTCAAGTTATTCCAAATTCAGCTTTAGGAGGATAGGAAAAGTGAAAATATACGGAATGGATAAAATTAGCAAAAAGAACTTTGGCTACACAATAAAATATGTGCACTAAATCTCTCTTCAGTAGGATGAGGAAAACACTTTTTTTTGTTGTTGTTTCTGCATCTTAGCTATCCCTTGACCCTCGCTTTTAAACTGCAGTCCCACTTAATCTGTGATAACTGAAATATTTTTCTTGCCTACTTGCTTCGATTTGGGTTGAACATCTCAGCTTGAAAACCCCCCAGAGAACCAAGAGACAGCGCCTGCCCTGCACCCTCACCAGCGAGAACGCGCAGCTGCATAAACCTCAAGGGGCCTCCCTGACGTCATAAAGAGCCAGACCAAGTGGGGCAGCGACCCCGCGACCCTCCCCGGGTCTGCCCCCTTCAAATATATCTTGCTTAGGCCCACCATGGCCAAGCTCCCTTGCAGTTAAAGTTATAGAATGAAAGCATCAGATTGAAACCCCAAGAATCACGCCCATACCCACTCCCTCACCCTTGTCAAGCCACCAGCTCCCCCACTCTGTAGTGGTATCGCCCGGCCACACCCAGTGGGAAGTTCTTTAACGCGCACTCTAGGCGGTGGGAAGGCGGAGCCAGGCCGCACCAGCTTAACGTCTCCCGCCTCCCCGCCTCCCCGCCTCCCCGCCTCCGACTGGGCTGGCTTCCCTGGGCGGGCCTCCGAAAGTGGAGACGCGGGACTGCCAGGCCGGGAGAGGCTAACGACTGTGGGGAATAGTCGCGGAGAACAGAGCACCGCCCCCAGCTCCAGAACCATGAGCGCTTACGACTCAGCCCCCTCCCCCGGCGGCGCCGGGAGGGGGCGTGGGGCGGAGCTCTTGCCTGAAGCCAGGGTCACTGCTGCTCAGGTCCCTACACCGGTTTCCAGCACGGATGAGGCCTCCTTGTCCAACCCATCCGAGTGGAGCATCCGCTCTGAGTGGCAGACCCTCTCCCACCCATTTTCCAGCTCCCAGACTACTACGGACTTGGGCAGCTCCTGGACCTCTAGTATACCTTCCCAATACAGCGCCAGTCTTGATCAGAGGACTGACTCCGACTCCAAGAATGGATGGGGCTTCAGTTCCTTTGTCTTCAACGATCAAACCTCCAGGTCTACTGCCTTCAACGTCTCTGATGGGACAGCCCCAAGCTCTAACCAGGAAGCCAACGTTTCTTGGTTATCGGTAGCATCGGTAGCAGAATCTGTCCCACCCGTGGGCCCCTCCCCAGGGCCAGTACAAAGATCAGCCCAGCCCTCAGTGTCCAGTTCCCCCCGGAGTTCGGTAGGACAGACTAACCTGCCCTCGGGGTCCGCCACGACCTCACTGCCAGGCTACCCTTGGTTACCGGTACCAGGACTTACTGTACCCAGTAACGTTTCCCAAGCATCCGTGCCGGGACCTCCTACACCCAGTAACAGCTCTCGAGATTCAGCACTAGGGTCCACCGCATCCACAGTGCCTGGCTTCCCTTGGATATTGGTACCAGGACTTACTTTACCCAACAGCCTTTCCCAATTGTCTATAGCACCACCTCCTGTACCCAATAACTCCGTCCAACTGTCAGTGCAAGATTCCACCTCTCCCTTAATATCCGGCACCCCCCGGGGGTCAGTAGAAAGACCTCCTCCTCCTACACTCAGTAATCCTTCCCAAATGCCAGCACAAGGACCTCCTAAACCCAGTAACTCTCCCCGAGTGTTAACGCGAAGGTCCTCCCAGCTCTCAGAGCTGAGGTCCCGCCGGGTATCAGCTGGAGGATCAGCTCCACCCCCGGGCGCTCCTGGAGTGTCAGCAGTAAGGTTCGCCCCGCCCTCAGCGCCCGGCTCCCCCCGGGTATCTGCAGAACGATCGGCTCCGCCCCCGGGCTCCCCCCGAGAGTTGGTAGAAGGGTACATCCCGCCCTTTGGCGTCTCCACTCCTGTACCCACGGCTTGGGAGAGTGTATTCCAAAGAATGGCGAGTCAGGAGAAGCCGGGTATCGCAGGCCACATGTTCGACGTAGTCGTGATAGGAGGCGGCATCTCAGGTCAGTACTGACCGTAGTGGTGGCCTGAGTGGCTTTGGCTGGCCCAGGGTGGGGGGCTAGTAGTACCTTTATTCCATTTGGACAGTCTCTTCTCTATCTATGCAAGAGTGTAATCTTGGCGGGCTCGGATCCTGAGAGGTGGGAATGGGGGTTGGGCAAGTTTTGCTGGTGGTGTGAACTAGGGAGGAGGGAGGCACAGTAATTTTACTACTACTACTATTAACACTAATATTTAATTAACTTGCTGTGCAGTTATATTAAGTACTATGCACTTTATGTGAATTTCCTCAGTTCTCAACAGTCCTGTGAGATGGGTACTAAATTCACCCCCATTTTAGAGAGCCAAGAGACGGAGGTCTGGGGAGTTTCAATAACTCTCCTGAGGTCAATTCTCCTAGCTTAGGAGTGGCTGAACGATTTTCTCCCATTTAAGACCCACACTCCTAATTCTGGAGGTGGCTGTTTCACCTCGCTGATTTCATATCCTTTGCCCTAAACACTGTATCAGCTATCTATATCTTACTATACTTATATCCTGCTCTTCTCTAAGCATCTTACCTTAAAATCCTTTAGGAAAAGACTTTTTTTTTTTTTTTTAAGGAAAGAGGCATGAGCTCTTATTTTTAAACTACTCCTGCCTTTTTTAAGAACTTGCTGAAGGCGTAAGGCATTTATTACCCAAAAGTATCCCCTTTATAAAGCAGAGGCTAAGTGCCCTATTTTCCCCTCCTGCTGGCTTTTCCTTCTGGCCCTTCCCCTCCTCCTGGTTTAGGTTTGTGTCTGATCAAGTGAGGGTTGCATGAGGCTTTTCAGTATCTTGCTGGAAGCCTAATCGTGATTCACATATTAAATTGTCACTTACATTGTCCTATTTGGTAAAGTGTTGAAATGTAGGAAATGTGTTGCGTTACAGTCCTAGCCAGGATCCCACACTCACCTGTTGACCCTGCCCTCATACCAGCAGAATCTGATTTAGACAAAGGAAGAAAGAAGATGTCAGGAAGTAGGTACAGTGAACCCCCCAGTAGTTATTTTTATGTATAATCATTTTGAGGGGACTCTGAATGTGCTTACAAATTCATTTTGAGTGGAGAAAGCTTTTGACTTGACCTGTTCAGGATAGTCACTAGAAAAGAGATTGGTATGAACTAATGCTTTGACAATTCCAGCTTCTGCCAGAAAAAACATGCATATGTGTTGGAACATCAGAAGAAAGCAGATCCTGATGGAGAGTAAGGAAAAGGAATATGTCCCTTGTTTCCCTTCATTCATTCATTCATTCATTCAGCAAATACTTGTTGAGTGCCTACAGTGAAGTAGACTGGTATTTCCAAAAATCTAGTCCTTTTAGGTAGGCCTCCTAGAAGCACTATGATTATTGATCACTGGAAAATAAATACAATAATGTGTTGTGAAAATTGATTGGGAGATGTGTGTCCTCTCCCATCTTCATATCATTTATATTCCACAATTCACTGCTCCTTATGGGATTTTATTATTGTCTTTTCCTTGTTCTTATCCCAGTATTCCTTAAGGAATACTGTCTTTTTTTTTTCCTCTGCCTGATTACCTACTCTTTCTCTCTTCCCACACTTTCAATATGTGGTCATTCGCAGAGGTAGATTCAGCATGTACTGAAGAACCTTATGCTTTATGCCCTTATAACTGCAGGTCTTCTCTGATTCTCATTGTAAATAATTTGTTTCACCCTGAATCTCATGTTCACAATTTTGCTTTCTTATTTTTTAAAGAGGGTACCCAAATTACATAACCTTCAGACCCCACAAAACCTGGATCTGTCCATGGTTCCTGATCACCATTAATTATTAATTAATTTCCATTTGGGAGAGGTAGAGGGCATCTCTTGCACAGTAGTTCACACATCTATTCCAGAGGCCAGCTTCTAATCTATCAGCAACTGGAAAAGTACTTGGCTTCCTCTAATGCCATCTCTATTATATCTGAATGATTTTGATACTCATACTGACCAGAGACATTGCTTTCTTTCTGTGGTACCTTTCAAGATAGTTCACAACTAAAATGAAAGTAGAGACAAGTCTGATTCAAGTCAGATCCTGGACATAGGGTATTTCATGAGCAGGTGAGAGGCATCACTTCTCAAGCATTCTTGTGAACTCAGAAACACATCATCTTTATATGTGCTTGGCAGTATCCCATGAGTTACTTGACAGTCCCTGGGTCAGTTTTAAATGCCTTTGAATAGTCCTTATAACTTTTGTAAGGACTTACACACTTTGATATGTTATCCACATATTTATAACATACAGCCAGTACTTAGCAGCTGCAGTGCTATTCCTATTTTATAGCTCCCAGAAGAGTAAATATTCTCAATGACATTACTCAAACCCTATCTATATTATCAGCATTATCTTTTACTCTCTTTACACAAAGAATAGCAGCATCCTGCTGTATTCTTTTTTGTCATTAAAAACATAAAATAGAACATGTCTTACAGCCACAAAACTCTTTTTATCTGTCCACCCCCCCCCCAATTTCATATGCTATACTGTGTTAGTAGTTGAGAGGGGAAACAGCTCTGCTCATTTGTTAGTCTGGTGGTGGTGTCTTTAACATGCTCTGATCCTTATCCATCATTCATCATCTATCACCCATTCCTTTGTGAAAGTCCTTTCATGTTTTCTGTTACACTATTAGATTTTTATCCCACAATGAATGCCCCTTTTCCATTCCTTCATTGTGCTCATATTCTTGCAAACTTCTAGTTTTGAAATGAGTTGGAGGTTCCACTGTTTATCACTTTTGGGCTCTTACACACGTTCTCCACTTTCTTCTTTTAGGACTTCAACTTTCTCATCTGTAGGAAGCTCTCAAGTCTTTCATTTGAATCCTTTTCTTTCTCTGAACTCCTATCCTGTAGCTTGTCTGCTCTTGGATATTTTGCACTTGAATACTTCAGATTCAACGTGTCCAAAAGTGACCATGCCTGCCAATCCAGCCTCTCTTCCTAAGTCCCTTGACTCTGTTCTTGACATCACCATCCTATCCATCATTTTAACACATTCTTTTCTTTCATCTTCTACACTCTTTTAGCAAACCCTTGTAACTGCTCTTTCGGGCTATCCCTCTTCTCCATTCCCTGTGATGCCCCCCCCCTTGCACATCCTCTGGAACAGACTTTTCAGCCCTGAAGCCCACTTGGTTATGACCCCCTCCCCAGTGGCCACTCTTTACATTAATGGCTCTCCCTTCATGTCCATACCACATGCAGTGTTCTCTCAGACTTGATTTTTCTTAAATGCTTCTTTCATCACCTCTTCTGTTCAAGGTCTTCAATGGTCTCCCATTACCAGCCTCTCAAGCCCCCCTTCTATACCCTCAATTACCTGCCCCCACTTTGTTGGACAAGTAGCATTTCTCACCATTCCCCAACATGGATTCAAGCTTTTAGTCTCAGTGCTGTTGCTGTCAGGGCTTTGCTAGTTTATTATGACCCTTCATGCCTTTCCCATCATATTTGTTTTCTTTCTTAACATGGAGGTACTTTTCTCTGACCCTTTGTAGCCTATCCATCCTTCATACCTGGTTGAAGATCCTTTCCTTGATCAGTCTGGCTCTCAATGACTTTTTTTTCCTCCTCTTGTGTAACTTGTAATCTACACTTAACTATACACTTATTTTCTGTCTCTTATTTCTTGATTTTATTTTTAAGTATAGTGTGGTTCATTCACTGAATTTAGATACTATCTCCTATTCATGAGCTATCACAGACATAACAAATGACAGAAAACTAGTGGTGGAAGATTTAAAATCTTCCCTTAACTAAGAATTTCTGAAATGATTCTCTTTAGGGAGAGAAAAAAAAAAAAAGGAAAAGAGAAAAAAGTCCACCTCTAGGGGACAGTGCACACTTCCTTCATGGATCTGTTTGAAATTTTAGAGTCTTTGGGGTCGAAGGGGTTTTAAAAGGCAATCTAGTCCAATCACCTAAGAGTTTAATCCTCTGGACAGCATCTCCTTAGTGATTATCTGGTTGTAGCTTCGAACACATTTAGGAAAAGGGAATACTCTATCCCTCAAAGAATTCATTACAAGTAGAGGTAACTCTGGCTCCTAGGCTTGTTCCAGTATTTCAGGAGCCTCTACCATGTGCTAGTCAATGGCTAGATCATGGGAAAGAAAGAGATACGTAAAGATGTGTAAGTAGTGTCCCTGTGTATAAGATGCCCATGTCCTGTTTGTAGAAGTAATCAAGGGGGTAAATAATTGACATGAATACAATGAGATAAATATTAATGTTATAAATATGAACAAAGTTCTAGAACCTTGAGAGATAAGTAGGATTTTAACAGGTAGATAAGAAGATGGAATAAAGACATACCAAGCAGGAGCAATTAGAGGAGCACAGATAAGAGTCATGAGGGTGTAAGCCCGACATGAGCAGTGCTTAATTTAAGCCCATGGTGAAAATTCCAGGGAAGGAAATAATTGTTTCTTATGCCTCTAGGGATGTGATCCTGGTAGCTATTGAGATGACTCTTAGCGCATGACATCTGCCTGTGATTTTTGTGCCTGTGTGAACTATGAATGATTAGCGAGTGTACAATAAAAACACCTTACTCATGATAATGGTTGATGGTCCTGGGCAAATAGAGTTTCTCCATGTATTTGCAGTTAAATTCCAAGTGGCATGTAGAAATAGCTCTTGGTGTCCAAATAGCATTTAAGCAATAGAACTTCTATATTTGTCCAGGAGCCAAGCTCTACTAAAAGAATTGAGAGCACTAGCCACCCAGAACTCTATGCTGTGTAAAACCAGCAGGGATCGAATTGTTCTCTTCATCTGAGACAGGAAAGCTGTTTTGCAAGAATGACTAATGTTTGGAGTTCCAAAGATTGAGTCCACAGCAGACCACAATTTCCCCTTTTGCTGAAATACATCATCCATACAAATCCTTTTTGCCATTTTAGGCATTTTAACCCAGAACTTGGCAGCACGTGTTGTGTGGTTTTGCAGTGAC